CAACCATTTAACCTGATCCATTGACATCCCTATAGGAGATTAGCCACTATCACTAGGGTTTCAACTTGGATTGTGGTTAGAAGAATAAAACATAACTAAAAAATCTAATACTTGAGTTGGGATTGGATTAATTTGGCTCAATCAAGAATACCACAAGGCCCTTTCTACAATTTTGTGTAAAAAGGTACAAGGCCCATGCATCACATGGGTCCAAATTACTACTATATTCTAAAATGCAATTGATCATGTCAGATTTCTCATTTTGTTTCCAACCCCTTTAGATTTTTTTTTTGTTTTTTGAATTTTTAAAAGTAAAAAGTTGATTATGGGGTTACTTAAGCTCACCCGTAACTATTCAATTAAGAAATATAAAGTAGCATGGGCATCTTTTTAACACTAGCCCATGCATGCATGAGTCTTGAATTCTGATTAGCCGAACGCTTTAACCATTCAGTAGGTTGTGGAGCAAATGACACACTAGTGATAAATTACATGGTTCCACACCAAGAGATTGAATGATAGTGGGCCCCATGCATTTTAAGACTAATGTGGATTCTTATCATTGGTTCTGCGGCCTACCGAACAGATAAAGCGTTCAACTAATCCTATCTCGAGTATTTTCTAGTGACCTTGACCATGACTATGTCAATAATATACATGCACTGCGTAAGGCACAACTTGGGAAGAGTACACATATAGGTTATGTTTGGTTCCATGGGCATTTATTGAAAAGTGCCACCACATCAACGCCACATAGGCATTGGCGTTTATTGTACATGAAACCACTATTTGGTTTTAACATTTATTAAATAAACACTTAAAAACATAAATGTTTTAATTTATTTGCATGAGGTGCTGGGGGAGACTTCAAATTCTTGTTTCCCCCAAAGCATGGGCATTTATAGAAATGAAATGCTTATGTGGTGCACTTTAAGCTGAGGTGGAAAATAATTTTAAGGGGTGTTACTTGAAATGCCGATAAAATGTCCAACCAAATAACAAAAAACAATAAACGTTTAAAGCAACACTTTTCAAATAAACATTTATCTAATAAACACCCTGTTAATAAATGCCCATGGAACCAAACAAATACGTAAGGTCTAGAAATACTATACACTTGTATTTTCACTATTCCCAAACTGAGCTTAATTGTTTATTGGTTTTAATTGAACAAATATGGATTTGTGTTTATATGCTCTCAATTAAAATTTGAAGCTTTCAAAAAGCAAAACAATTGAGCAAGAGGGAAAGTGGAGAATTAAGATCTTGCAATTGACTAAAATAATTCGAAGCTGCCATAGTTAGAGGTGTCAATTGAATTGGATTTGGTCCAACCCTATCCAGTCTAATGTTAGTCCACTTACAAATGGACTAAACCCAATTTAGTCCAAATCTAATACAAACCAAATCCAATCCAATCCATTAAAATGTAAATGGACTAGATTGGGTCCAATTCAAAATGAATGAAATATCAAAATTTATATAAAAAATAAAATGTATAAAAATTACAAAAAAATATATTAAAATGAAGAAAATCTGAAAATTACAAAAATATGCCATTTTGGCATTGAAAAAGCACTTTTGTAAAAGTGCTTTAGGCCCTGTTTGATGATTAAGTGGTTGTAAAAGTGCGCAAGTACTTCTTAAAAGTACTTATTTTAACAACCACTTAAGGGTGTTTGGTGACCCACTTGCCAAATCACTTATTATGTTTTTAAGCACTTATTGGGGTGTGGATATTTGGTAAGCTACTTTCCCCATAAGTGTTTATATTGATACAAATGACAATTCTAGCCCCCATTTCACTTATACATATTTACAATGCTTTTCACATATTATACTATACATTTCAATGAAAAAAATGCCACATCATGACAATTGAGAGCCCACTTGGACCCACATGTGAAGCGCCATGTGGACCCAATTAATAATAACAACAACATCAATAACAACAACAACAACAACTAAATATTAATCACAACAAAATATAAAAGACATCACAACTATACATTATCAGAAATAAAGAAAAATGCAATTACAAATCAATAAATATATAAACATTTAACTAATTATTCATACAAAAATCAAGAAAAAAATCTGTAACCCACATATTTCAGCATATGTTTGCATCATTTTTAACAAGAAAACGAAAAAAAAAAATATTCATGCATAGGAATCTATCACATAGAGAATGCAAAAAAAAAAAAAAAAACAAGCAAATATTTCGAATTTATCTTCGAAAAAGAATTGGTTTTAATCAAAACATTGCACTAAAAATAGTTTTAAAGCAAAGACAAGGGAGGAGGATGGCTGACCTGAGTGTTGCTGGCGAGAGCATAGTAAGAATGCCTGAAAATCGCCCCAAAAAACTAGATCTGGTAAAGAGGGTTTTGGGCGTTATGAACCACAAAAAAACCCAAAATATTCAAGAATACATGTAGAAAACAAGTCCAAACGTGAAACTGACTTGGTTTCCGGCGAGTTTGTAGCTTATTTGATGGTCGCTGTTTGCTCCCAAAACAGGTAACGTTGCTAGTATGCTCGATCCTGTTCAAGTGAGAAAGAAGGGGGTTTAAGGAGATATAGGGGTATTCTGGGTATTTAAAAAAATAAACAGGGACTTTTTAGTCCCAAATTTTTCGCATGTCCACTTATTAACAAGTACTTACAAAAACAACTCTCAAGTGGCTTTTTAAATAAGTAATTCTTTATCAAATTAGTACTTTTTTGATACTTTTTTACCAAACACCCACAAATGCTTATTTTCCTATTAATGTGTGGTCCTAGCACTTTTATTAAGTACTTATAAAAAAAGTACTTGTTTTAAGTGAAATCAAACAAGGGCTAAAAGTACTTTTAAACAAGTGATTTTATAAAAGTGCTTTCGTAAAAGTGTTTTTGTAAAAATGCTTTTGTAAAAGTACTTTTATAAAAGCAAGGTTCAAAATATTGTTACGTATCAAGCTGTATCAACTGATACGTATTGTATCAGGGCCTTCCTGATACACCCCTATAGAGGGTAGCCGGGACTTAAACCAACCCCGCTGAACCGGTTTTGAAAAAAAAAATAAATAAAACATGAAAAAAGCACTGATACTGACTAATATTCCCTACTGATGTACCGGCATATCAACCTGTATCGATATTTAGAACCTTGTATAAAAGTGCTTTTATAAAAGTATTTTCGCAAAAATGCTTTTATAAAAGTACTTTCATAAAAATGCTTTTATAAAAGTACTTTCATAAAAGTGCTTTTATAAAAGTATTTCCATAAAAGTTCTTTGTAAAATTGCTTTATAAAAGTGCTTTTGTGTAAAAGTGCTTTTATACAACTACTTCTGTAAAAGTGCTTTCATAAAAGTACTTTTGTAAATGTGATTTTATGCTAACTTCAGTTTTGATCAGTTTCAAATTGGACAAGGATTTGACCTCATGATTAGATTATTGGAAATTTGGTTTAGGTCCAATTCAAACCAATAAGAATATAGACCAATTTATTTTGGATTGGCTCAATCCAAAATTATATTAGACCATCCAAATCCGTTTTGATAAGGTTTGGATCAGATTGGATCCAATCCAAAACCGTTTGATTGACACCCCTAGCCATGGTGAGTGGGTCTAAGGGTGCAACTTTGGGGTGGCACAAATCAAGCCCAGACTCACCTAAATTGCATATTTTGCATGAATCAGGTTTGGACTTTTGGTCCTTCAGATGGGCTTGAGGTCAAAACTCAGAACCCTAGGCTTTTATGTTTTTCACCCCTAGGTAGCTTAAGTCTGGTCTAAACCTAGTCCAACCTAAGCCCGGCCCGGCTACACACATGCATACATATATGAAAAACATTCAAAATTCATATTTAAAGGTTTAATACTAAATAGATTCATGCAATTTTTTAATAGATTGGGCCTAGCAAGCCCACTTGAGCCCAATTAGCCAATCTGAACTTGGCCCGGAGCTGAACCTGGGTTGAAAAAAATGGCCTTGACTTAGGCTTAATATTTAGGGTCAGGCCCATCCCACCTGATTTATACTCCTCGGTGGATAAAATCATAGTTCTCGAAACTAGATGGGACTAGATGGTTTGACAAAAAAAACTTAGAAACCGATCAGGTAATCAGTTCTGATTCACTCTAAAATTGCTTTTTGGCCAAAACCCGTTAATTTAGTCAATGACCCGTTAACCTGGGTGATTGAACCATTTTTTTTATATTTAAATCTAAATGGGCCATCCATTCGAACCTGGTCTGACCTAAAAATCGGTCCTAGAATGATTCTTGTCTGATCTAGTTTTTAAAACCTTGATAAAAGGAAAATTTCCTATTTAGTACCCTATACTTTGGGTCTAGATCTAGTGCCACTTTGATCTTCGAACTTTAAAATGCGACAATCCAATACCCAAACTTTCAAAACGTGACAATCCAGTACCTTCCGTTAATCAGTAGTTAACCCGTTGTTAAGTGACATTTGAAAAAAACACAAATGCCCTTCGAGTGTCATTTAATTTTCTTTATCAACCATTTAAACATTGACAAAAAATTAAAAGTCCCAAATTCTTTCTTCTTTCATTCAAAAAAGTTGGAATTACGTTTGAGTGGGCATTATGATAATCCCAACTTTCTTAAATAAAAGAAACAAAGATTTAGGACTATTAATTTTTTAGTCAATGTTTATATAATTGATAAAAAAAATTAAATGACACCCAAAAGAGTATTTATGTCTTTTTAAAACGTCACTTAATGGTTGATTAACAATTAACGATTGATATTGAATTGTCACATTTTAAATATGGGAATACTGAATTATCACATTCAGTGACCAAAGTAACACTATAACAGAATTACAAGATACTAATCGAGAATTTTCGCTGATCCAACATCGTGATTAACTAATAACAATACTTTGCGGATCGCCTTCAATTAATTTGAATTCGAAAGATTTTATGCATAATTTATATTTAAATGATTAAGAAGTTAAAAAACAATCATTAGCACGCCATATATATAAGGAGGTTGGTTCTCTTCAAATTCGGGGGAATTAGTGGTTTCATTTCAGGGGTCAGGGGTGGTCATTGATCCGCCGGAAAACCGTCCCCTTCGACGCCATAATATCTCTGTCTATTAACGAATTCGATCTCACCACGCGAACCCCTAATTTCCTCTGAGGTGCGCATCATTTCTCTCTTCATTATTTTATCTTCTCTCATTTTCTTAGGGATTTCGGTCCAATTTGAGAATCTAGGGTTTGAATTTAATCGAACTATGATCTATGCCTTATCACGAATTAAAGGAGGGTAATATCTATCTATCTATCTATATGTATGTATATGTTCTGTAGACTTTAGTGTTTTATATGATTTTGATCTTTTGATAGACATATGCGGCTAGGACTTAGTTTTATCATTTCTTACTAATCGGGCTTCCAAACTTTGGAGTTTCATTTTCTCTCAGTAAGGGCTGAATTTGGTTTGGAATATAGGGTTGGCCCTCTCCCTCCTTAAATTCATGTTTAGAATATGTTTAACCGTAATTCATTTGGAGTTTGTTGACCCTCCTGCTGTGTTTTTAATTCCTTGAAGCAGGTTCTCATGGCGTCGAAACGTATATCGAAGGAACTCAAGGATTTGCAGAAGGATCCTCCGACGTCCTGCAGTGCTGGTATGGAAACTTCTTATATTTGTTCTGGATCTTATAATCACATGCAAGTGATAGAGTGGTTTTTATTCAAATATGTGCTGCTGTTAATTGCTTCTAGCACTCAGCAAGTAGGTCTTTTGGATGTGAATTTGCCAGTAAGGTAAATTATTCGTTTCTCATGCTTGCACTGCTCAACTCGACAAAGTATTATCTTAACCGTACGGGGTTGGTAGTCAGCTAAACGAACATGGGAGGAACCAGAAAAACTTTTCTTGGGGAAGGGGGAAATGGAATCCAAGATAAAAAGAAAAGATTCGCCAAAACAAAAGAAAAGACAAGTCACCTAAAAATATTGCAAATTAGAATTAGAAGATAGGTTTTGTGTTGGACGTCTCATCCATATTCTTTTCTTTTTATTGACTATCTACATATATTAGCTTTCCTTCGAATATCTTATTATTCAGCTAGGAATGTTAAATTTAAAATCACATTAATCAAGTATCTTATATGTGCAATGCAAAGCATTACTATACAAAGCAGATACCCTACTTCCGCTATGAAAGCAGAAAAACTTTATAAAGCGGGCATGTAAAGAATGACAATGCAATCCATTCTTATTATTCATATTCTTTTCTTTTCTTTTTATTGACTATCTACATATATTAAAATTAGAAGATAGGTTTTGTGTTGGACGTCTCATCCATATTCTTTTCTTTTTATTGACTATCTACATATATTAGCTTTCCTCCGAATATCTTATTATTCAGCTAGGAAGGTTAAATTTAAAATTACATTAATCAAGTATCTTATATGTGCAATGCAAAGCATTACTATACAAAGCAGATACCCTACTTCCGCTACAAAAGCAGAAAAACTATATAAAGCGGGCATGTAAAGAATGACAATGCAATCCATGTGCCCATTTTGCTTGTGTTAATAAAGCAAAACAGAACATGTAAAGAATAGCAATTTTAAATAACAATATCATCAACGTATAATGGTAAACAAAATTTATAAAAGAATCTCTTAGAGCTATGAATTAAGCATGTGGGAATATATTAACAAATAAACCAATTTGAAGTTAATTTCATCATATACTAAGATATTAAAAACCCAAAATAAAATTGAAAATACCATGTTAAATGGTTGCTTACCTTGAATGGAATTGGAAGCAGGCTGGATTTGATAAAGATGTTTAGAAATAGAACAGGATCAACTTGTTATCAAAATCTCAAGATGCAAAGTGGAAAATAAGATTTTCAATTAAACATCTAATATCAATCACAGTTGTTTGTAAAGTAGTTAAGGAAGCAATGAAATTACTTTAACATTTGTTTCTATCACCCACAGAGTTTAAAACAGAGACAGTGTCAGACTACATCACTACAGTATTTTCTATCCAAAGGAATTGCAGTATCTTCTATTCAGAAAAAAAGAAAAGAAAAGAGCTGCAGTATCTTATATTATTCTTTTCTTTGTTTTATCCTGATTCATACATGTAGATATCCAAGTTGTTTCCTTTTTGTTTTAGATAACTATGATGTTTGTCAACCCCATTGTTCTAATTACTGATCACTAAACGCTCAACCATTGCCTAACAACTTTGATCTATATTTAATATTTACTTCTAAAGAATTTTAGGGGCCACTATTTGGTGCAATGGTAAAATCTTGGGCTAAAAAGCTTGAGAATGTAGGTTTGGGTCTGAGAGTGGCCATTTTATACAAAAAAGGGAAATAATGCAAAGATTAGGTCTGTATCTAGTCCATCCCACCCAACTCCCAAGACCTAAGATATTAGGGACCAACATTCAGTAATGGCCCTTTATCAACTTATACAAATTTTTGGGAGGTTGGTGTAAGCCATGTCCCGTGCCCACTTCCTGCTTCCATCCTTCGTACCAATCCTGTTTTTCCACACCACCACATCATTTTCCATGTCCATTGTTAATTTTGAGCCCATAAATCAGTTGTCACTGCCTCAAGTCTCAACCCATTTTCTTTCTGACCTCCTAGCTCTTCTGGATCCTTCAGCTTGCATTATATGACTTCTTATTTGTGCTGTAGCAAGTAGGTGGTCTTCTATGCATATGGCAGATACCATTTTTGTCTACATTCCCCCATTTTATTACCAATCAGGGCAGCATCTATCTCGCCAGGAATATGTTCATTTCTAATATTTTCTCATGTTTGTATATTGTCTGTTATATGGCATTCTTATGCAATTTGTCACTGTCTCAGTTCACTGTTTTCTGTGATTTGATGCTAATAGGCAGTTAAGATTTATGCTGTTTCTTGGTACTTTCCCTACTGTCAAGCCCAGACATGTATGAGTGTTCCTTTTGAGGCACATAATATAATACCACTGTTATTTATAAAAAAAAAGATTGGATTTATAGATTATTAATATTGTGTGATGTCTCTCCATTTTTAGCTTTTGGTTCATCTGAAAAAATACTTACTGGAACTTTCCTGTTGTTTACCTCCCTCTCCTTGCTGATTTGTGATGTCATTGGTAATGGTCAAACATATATGAACCACTCCCGGATTAATATTTTGGTCTGTTTTCCTGCTCAACGTAAAAGATAGTACCAAGTGCTTGCATTTGGTAACTTGGATGCTCTTCTATTACCATCCTCTACACCTCAAACTAAGTATGGAGATTTAATACTATATCTTAAAATTAGGCAACCTTCACTTAATATTGTGGTTCATTTTTGATAGGCCCTGTAGCTGAAGACATGTTCCATTGGCAAGCAACAATCATGGGACCTCCAGATAGCCCATATGCAGGAGGCGTATTTCTTGTTACTATTCACTTTCCTCCAGATTATCCTTTTAAGCCCCCTAAGGTGCTTTATGCATACATATGCATGCCAGTATTTCGAGATTGCATCTTATTACTTTCTGTAGGAATTAATTCATGTGAAATAATCCATTAAAAGAAGCATGATATTATATATCCTTCACATTGTTGTCCTGTTTGTTTCCTTAAATGTTGTTGTTGTTGTTGTTGTTGTTATTATTATTATTGGTTGATTGATTGAATGATTGGTTTCCTTAATGTTACTATGCACTATTCATTGTTACTAGAGGAAGGTATCACTTTTCTTCATTGTCATTATTCCTTATGTTGATTACTGTTATTTGTTGGATCTTAGATGTTTGAAATCTAAATCCATATTTCACAACCACCAAAGGAGATCCATTCTTTGTTGTTTTAGCTTTGGATTCAGTTAAATGACATGTTGTATGATAAACCATTTCTATACTATCTTATTAAGTGAAATCAACCTTCCTAGCTTTACCCAGATAGCTAGGACCAACATTGGGTAGAAAAAATCTTCATAGTTTTTTTTGGTGTCGGTGTTATCTTTTTTTTTGATATCTTTTGAAGCGCTACACAATGGGGGGGGGGGTAGCCCATTCCCCATTCCCCAACCCATAACCCCCCCAACCCAGGTGCAGGAGGGATTCAATCCCAAGTCTCCGCTACGACCAGCAGGAGACCTTACCACCCAGCTGGTTGGCACCTTGCTTGTATTGGTGTTATCTTGATTCATGAGGATAAAGTGCCACTGTACTGGAGGCTATTATTAATTTCTCTTAATTCTATAATGGAGCAATTTATGTTAATTGTAAATTATGACTTCACATTTCACAAAATGCTATTGGTATCAGGAAACCAGTGAGTGATATTTCCTAAACCATTGTCTTTCCAAGTGGCATTTAAATTTGCAAATATTGTCACTGGAGGTTGCTGGTATAATGTGAAAATATTTACTAAATTGTGAAGTAAACCACTGATTTACCTGCTTGCTTTGTCCTGTATATTCTTAGTTTGATCTGATTAATCTTCTTCTCTAGGTTTGATGAGCATCTTCTTTAAGGCTTGATAAAGAGTTTTATTTTATATTTCTAATTTGTTTGAAGCTATGTTTTCTTGTTTCTTTAATCGTGTAATGCATATATTGATTGTATATTTGCTAAGCCTTCAGCTTCCTTTATTGGGTTTGTTTTTGATCAGTTTGCTAAGACTATCATATCATGTATACTCCATGATGTCATTCTTATTCATTCGATGCGTCTTCATATACTTTTCCCCCAACACCCATTTAAAAAGGAGGCCTTTCTTATGATTGATTGCCATATTCTATAAGTAACATTTGCTAATAATGTATTATATTTTCAGGAATTAGTACACATTTTAGTTTTATTGCTGTTTTGTAGTATTATGTTTCATTGGTTTATTTAGTTGTCAGCTTGAACTTTTATATCAATAATAACCAATTAAATAATTTATATCAACAATAATATGGTTTATCCAAGGGGAGGTTAATCATATTCCATATTTCAGGTTGCATTTAGGACTAAGGTCTTCCATCCAAACATCAATAGCAATGGGAGCATATGCCTGGATATCCTTAAAGAGCAGTGGAGCCCTGCTCTTACCATCTCGAAGGTATTATTTGAGATATAGCTTGTTGCATGTTCTTCCAATTATGTTGCACATGTTTTGAAGACAAAGCTCCCTTTGTTTTGTCAGACATGGCCCTCAAAATTAAATCCTTTTGCTCCTGCTCCTGCTGCTCACACATGCATGTTTGTATTTGTTGAAAGAATTATTGAAAAGAGCATTATTGATAGAAGTCTAATTTCCTTCGACTTTATTTTCCGATGCCTATTTTCTCAACGGCACACCATCAGTTGGAGTGTTGGACATAGAGACTAGGGTCAGACTTGATTAACTGGGTTGAACCAAACTATCCAGTTTTTAATTCATTATCTGGGTCCAGTTTTCAAAACAGGGAATGAAATTGAGTATCATGAAGATTTAAAAATAGAAAAGTTAGAAGTGGTAGGTTAGTCATGATGAGGGTTTGCTTTGTTCTGTTGCTCAATTATGTTTCACACTTATTTCTGAGCATAGAAATGATTGGGTCAGATGGGACTCACATTTTGAACTGTTTCTGTAGCTAAAAGAAAAATGTGTAGGCCATACTTGTCACCCCTGAGATGATGACTTGCATTTTTAACTAGCAAGTTGCTCTACCTTCTATATGTGGATTGATATTTTCATGTGTTTAGGGAACAACTCTACTGTTATTTTAGTCAATTTACTGGTTGTAACCAGTCTTTCTTTGGATATTACCAATTTTAGTTGCGATTGGTAATTAGCAAAATCATAACAAAATGTCAGACTTGATCAGGTGGAACTATTATTACTATTTTTCCTAATTTTTCACTAGTTTATTTTAGGATAAAGAGAACATGGTTCAAACTTCAAATATGAAATATTTGGAGTTTCCATTGAGACATTTATATAAACCTTTGTTCAAAAAAAAAAAAAAACTGTTCACCACGTAATGTTGTTGAAGACTTGTTAAATAGGTCCAAGGTCCATGGTTGAGTTTAGACCTTTTTAAAGAAAAAAAAAAACAGAAAACTCTTAATTAACTCATACATTTACTAGTTTGATTGCTTGGAAAGTCGGGTTAGAGAAGAGAAGAGCAAGAAAAGGAGAAAAGGACCGAAAAAAAAAAGATTCAAAAGAAAAGTAAGGGAAATGTTGAGAGAGCCAAAAACGTAGTCATATATATTTAACATGCATTGTGTAATGACATAATGCCCTCATATATCAATGGAAAAACCTCCCAAGTGTTGACTTTCAACTCAATACATATATTAGTCGATATACATGCAGCAAAGTACATATCCCAATTTCATTCTTTTTATAAAACGTGGTTATTGAAAAAGGATGAATTTGCGTTGTCAGAACTTACATGCATACGATATGCTTTTGTATCTAGGAAATTCTTGGAACTCGCTAGGATGTTCCATACTATTTATATTTTATATTGGATTAAACCAATTTTCTGGTTGCAAATCAGGTTCTGCTTTCCATCTGCTCTTTGCTGACGGACCCAAACCCCGATGATCCGCTAGTGCCGGAGATTGCTCACATGTACAAATCTGATCGAAACAAGTATGAGTCTACTGCTCGCAGCTGGACGCAGAAGTATGCTATGGGATGAGAGTAGAAGATTTCTGTCTTTTAAAGTCTGTGTTGGGTCTCCAGTAAATACTAAATAGGATAAAAGTTTGGTAAGAAAACCGTGGCTCTTGCCTTCGTCAAAAGGGAAAGAAGAAATCAAGAAACTGTACCAAAATTGTATTGCTTTCTTGTTGTTTGTGTGTCGTTAGAGGTCCTGATTTTATGAAAGGTCTTGTTTCATGCATGTTGGGATTATTCTAAATCGGTATTTAACCCATGGTTGTGGTCCAAACCCGTCAAGGTAGGGAAGGGGGACAAAGTTTATTGTATCTTTAGGGGTCTGATACACCTGTTTACATGCGTTCTGGGGAACTTTTTTATTATGATACTAGAAAAACATGGTATTGGAAAAGCTTTGTCCAATCAAAGCACTATGTGAATTTTGATTAATACTGCCTCATTAGTTTTAAGCATCGATACAGGTCTGCCAATACATAGGTGTATTTGGGGACTTTTCTCACAAAAATTGACCTTCACATGTAAAATAATACAAAGTACAAGGTTTTGCACTCAATATATTTGTATTTGTAGGGGAACAAACGGAAAGTGATGTTAAAACATAGTTTACCATGCTACAAATACAAATATATTGACTAACTCAATTTGGTCTAAATATAAACAAACCCAATCACCTCGGTTTGGTTCGTTTGGGTCGATCAGCCTAGTCCGAATTTGACACAACTCAAGGTGGGCTGATTTGGGTCAACTTGAATGTTCATATTGACCCGAAATCTGCCCCGCTTGCTTTACCCGATTAGGATCATTTGCTCCGGTCCGTATCCACACAATCTGACCCAAATCCGGACCAGTTCAATTTACTTTTCTTGACCTGCTTCGGGCCAGTTAGTTCGGTCCCAAACCCGTGAACAAACCTGATCTGGGTTGATCCATATCAATCTGCCATTGACTGATCCAGATCTAAACAATTCAAACACCCTTGATGTGATTAGCTCGAAGACAATCCAATTAGATAGTTCAAGTTAGTCTGACCAATTTGAACTTGAGTGGTTCAATCAAACCCGAAACTCGAACATAGTCAAATGGCTTTGCCACTTGTGTAAAAATAACATGCATGTAATGTAATTTGAACCTTCCCACTTATGTAAATAGCAACTACTGTTACCACCAAGTTATAACCAACTTATTTGTCAAGAGGGAGTTAGTTTTTTGTTTTATGTACATAAATATAAGATTACTGGGTTTGGGTAGGTTGGATTGGATTAAAGCAGATCTGGGTTGAACCCAACCTACCCAATTGCCACCGCTACCCGTTCCGCCCCGAAGATGGACTCTACGTAAGCTGATTTGGGTTGGATTAATGGGTTTGGGTAAGTTGGATTGGATTAAAGCAGATTTGGGTTGAACCCAACCTGCCCAATTGCCACCGCTACCCGTTCCACCCCGAAGATGGACTCTATGTAAGCTGATAAGGCTTATTCAGGTCCATCTGATTCGAGCGAGATAGAGGCAAGACCCGTTGACGTGTGGCATGATCTCGAGAAGATCGGAGACAGCTGGCTCGCTTCTAGGAGGTTGTGTGGCACCTCGACAGGTCGGTGGGTGTGGCAAGCTGGTCAGACCCCGGTACTAGGTAAATGACCCGAAGTGCCTGAGGTGATTTAGACTGCCAAAGTGTTCGAGGATGCTGAGGTATCACCAAATTGATCGGTCACTCCACGTGTCATCATGTCAGTGGTCGGGCAAGATTATCCCTCATCTGATACCCAATCGTTTCTACTAAATAGCCTTTCATTGGATTTATCATCGATAGGTTACAATAATTTTAAACTTTGCCCGGACGCTGCAATTGAGATGCCACAACATCCATCGTATTTGCATCACTTGTAGCTCTCTCTCTCGAGTCTAACCATCTTCTGTTTGGAGGTGTGCATACAGAAAAAAAGGGAAAATTTTTTGAGAGTAAAAGAACAACTTGGGCGGGGTTGGGGTTTTGTCAAAATTTGAATGAATCTAGCTTAAAGTCTGAACCCAAAGTATGCAAGTTGCAGGGAGCAAGGGGGGATGGTTAGGTGTTTGCTTGTCAGATCCGAACTATTGGCCCGAAAGATCAGGCCTTCGATTTTGAATTTTCAGGAGAATCCACTCCTGGTTCCTGTTAGTCATGCCCACCCCAATCATGACACTCTTTGATTAAACTTTGAGGGAGTTGTATGGACCATTAATTTGAGGAAAATTTTGATACAAGTCAAGGCACAAGGCTGATGTGGACCGTGAGTCAGCGTGATCCAGAGCTTTCTTTTCTTTGTCTGATGATGGACGGGTTGGAAATTTGGAATCGGAATAGATTCCCTAACCTAGCGCTTTACTTTTTAGGCCAATCACGGTTTATGCTGTGTTTGTTTTGTCTTCTCGTACCAACCAAACTAGTGTGGTGTGGCTTCACTTGGCGGGAAAAACTGTGTATGCTACAATAATAAGTAATGCTGATCTTGCAGAAATGTTGCAGTGGCAATTTCTATTTTAATTATTTTGAGCCAATGAAATTGCATTGACTTGTATCTTATCATATGAAAGAAAGGTTGCGATTAATTCAACCATTATGTGACCGTTTTTTTCCTTTTTTTTTTCTGGTTTTTGGTTCAGTGGTTCAACTGTTTGATTTGAATGGATAGCCCGTTTCAATTTAAAAATTAAAAAATAATTAAAATTTATTATTTACGTCAAATAGGTCAATGATTTAACCGCCCAAATCAATGGATAGTTAACCAAATCGATGGTTTTTGGCCAAAAATCAAGTTAAGAATGAAATGAAACCAGTTGTCTGAACGGTTCCTTAACTGAAAAGTCTGACTGTCCGAATCAAAGATGGTTCAAAAACACTGTTCAGAAGATGCGATCATTTTTGTGATTTAATCCACTGTTTTCAAAACCGGACTGGACTGAACGGTCGGACCAGAAAAACCAGGGACCGGCCACCTGACCGGTTCCGTTTTCCTCCAAAATCGCTTTTTCCTTCAAAACCGTTGATTTTGGTCAACAAACTGCTGAACTGGTTGATTAACCGTTCGAATGGTTTTGACCGTTTTCTAATTTTTTAAATTTTTTATTTTTTTTTGTTAAAACGGGCCAACCGTTCGGATCGATCGGTCCCCGGTAACCGGACCCCGGTCAGGTTTTGGTAACCGGTTCGTTTTTAAAAACCATGATTTTATCCATCAAAGCCCGAGGTATACGAAAAGATGAATGTAATAAAATAGTATGTAGATGGGCGTCAGAAGTCGTCTGGTCATCATCGGTGCACATGGAGAGGGTTATATTTGTTTGTCTTGTTGGCTGTCGCTCTGCCTAAGAGATCGATCCATGCATCGCCTCGTTTAAGCCTTTAAAGGTGGAGATGCAGGCAAACGACGCCCAAAATTCAACCTCACTTATCCAAAGTTTTGAAAATTTCAAGCTTATTGTGTTGTTTCCATTTCTAGCTTCAAAGTGGAGATAGGAACTAGGAAGGATTGCGATGGAGTGCAAACTGCCTTGGATACTGTGAGGATCACGAGAGACTGACTGACTGAAGACTCTGAGAGACAACTGAGGTAGGTGTTTGCTTTCTGACTTTTAGGCAATTCTTTTAAAGGAAATCTAGGTACTGAGTTACTGATCAATGTGGGCATTCAATGGGCTGGCGTTACATATCAGCTGCCCAATTTATTCTGGCCTGAGGCCTTTCCTGAGTGACGGTCCTACATTCTGGGCTCATGGGGACAGCTGAATTAAACCTGATGTGGCTGAACAACAAGAACTGGCGAACCATTTAATAGAGTAGCGCCCACCGAATACTAAGTTCTTATAGTAACAAGAAAATTGACATCTTATGGACAGTCAGGTGTGTAGAAGTAATCAAGTAAGAGTGTAAATCTTTGAAGCAAATTAATCCATTTGCTTCAAGCATAATTATTATATATGTGGGGATGTGTTTTTGGAGTGGGTGGGTATTGGGTAAATTGGACACGTATAGAAGTTGTTTGGTATTGATGGCGTTTATAAGATAAATGAGACAAAATCTGCTTTAAAACATTTTGTATCATTTTTTTATAATTTTATGTCATTAGACGTCATTAGGCACCATATAAGTCAAACAGTGAAAATTTGGTCATGAAAAACGTCAAAATTAGTGTTTTTCTAATAAACAGTTTACACGATTTTTAAGAGACTGTTCAACCAAATAACTTTTAAGGCGTTTTTTCTTGTCAAACACATCTCCAATGCTGAGCTGACACTGTTTCTTTCAAAAGCTACTTCGAAACCAAACACCATCATAATTTGCTCTCTCTTATAATAAATTTCTCTATTATACCATTAGCTTTTTATAGGTAAAAAAGTTATTTTATAACTTAATTATTAATCAAAATTATATGGTTAAATTAACTTATTTGGATAAATATTTTCTAAGAAACAATTTACTTGGATAAGTGCACTTATCGGAATAAATTATCTTTTGAAAAATAAACAGGGCCTAAGAGACACGGTTTTTAAAATCGGACCGGATCGGAAAAATTGGGAACCAGTCATGTGACCGGTTCTGTTTTACCCAAGAACTGTTATTTCACCAAAAACTATTGATATGGTCAGCAAACCACTGACCCAGGCGGTCAAACCATTTGAACCATCTAAAGGTTTGGCCATTTTTTATTTTATATTTTTATTGTTAAAACGGACTGTTCATTTGGTTGAACAATCGAACCGTTCGACCTAAGAACCAGACCCCTGATCAGTTCGTTGTCCGATTCGATTTTAAAAACCTTGCTAAGAGGAGAGGAGAATGGGAGAAAGCACTCCAAGATTAAGGTCGCATTTCGATAAACTTGACGATTTGTGCTTTCAAAGCCCAAAAGCACAAAGCCTTTGTATTTTGAGGTTAAAAAGCGTTTTGGTCTCAAGACTATATAATCATAATGTTGTTGAAAGCATCTCCTATCAAACATTCAAAACACTTTTTGCTTTTTACCTCGTCCGGAGCTCAAAAACAAAAGCTTATTCAGATGGATACGAAGAAAAAATTACCTTTGTGGCAATTAATCTGAATCAGGTGTGCTTCTGAGACCAAGAAAAAAAAAGAATGAATTGTGGGAAAAATCTCTAAATTGAACTTCATTGACAGCATCAATAGCAACCATGCTTTTTAAAAACTACCTGGAGATCAAACCGGTCAGGAGTCCGGTTATCGGGTCGAACAGTTGGACTGTTCAAACTGAACGATCGGCTCGTTCTGACAAAAAATAAAAAAACGATCAAAATGGTTTAAACGATTAACAACCCGGGTCAGCAGTTTATTGACCAAAATCAACAATTTTAGACAAATTTTCAATTTTGAAAAATATTAAAACCAATCACCTAACTGGTTCCCAGTTTTCTGATCCGACTGTCCCATCCAA